CAGAAGTTCTGATTCCAATTGTGGTCGTAAGACGAGGACTGCCTATACTGGCTTTCAGTAGCACAGGTTTCATTAAAATGTGTTTGCTAAACACTGTGCTGGAATCCAACTGCAGGTGGTTTTACCTCCGGCCTCACCCCCACATGGCTCTGTGCATGTTCTTTGTAAAACTCAATACCAGGAGTGAAATGCTCCCGGTTCGGACTGGATCGCCCAATCCGGTAGCGATGGAGGCGGGTGGTTCGGAGAACCAGTAGCAAAAATCCCTGCCCCCCTCCCATTGCCCAGATGAGCCACGCAATCATCAGAGGCTTTTTTTTATTTTTAAAAGCATTTTTTCTACAACCTCCTTGGCTGAAAAAATGCTTTTAAAAGTTAAAAAAAAAAGCCTCTGATGATCGTGCGGCTTAGCTGGGATCATCAGAGGCTTTTAAAAGCATTTTTCCTACAACCTCTTCGGCCGAAGAGGTTATAGAAAAAATGTTTTTAAAAGGAAAAAAAGCCTCTGCCGATCAGGCAAGTCAGCTGGGATCGTCAGAGGCTTTAAAAGCATTTTTTTTACAACCTCTTCAGCTGAAGAGGTTGTAGAAAAAATGGTTTTAAAAGCTAAAAAAAAAAAAAAAGTTGGCCACGTCCACTCAGTCATATTACCCCTCTCACCCCCACCAAGCCACGCCCACAGAACCGATAGTAACAAATTTTACATTTCACCACTGCTCAATACTATACCTTTTTAGCTTGGGCTTTTGGAAGAGTCCCAAACTGTGGTTCTGAAGGCCGGTCTACCGGATTATTGATATCGGAAGGGACACTCTCTGTTCTCCTTAACCGTGGTACTACTGAAGCAGAGAGAAGACAAAAATCAGCATTTTACTTAGCCTTCTTAAAACTACAACAGCAACACTGAATTCAGAATAACAGAGTTGAAGGGACCTTGGAGATCTTCTAGTCCAGTGTTTCTCAACCTTGGTAGCTTGAAGAGGAGTGGACTTCAACTCCCAGAATCCCCCAGCCAGCAGCGGGGGATTCTTCAAGCTTCCAAGGCTGAGAAACACTGTTCTAGTCCAACCCTCTGCTCAAGCAGGAGATCCTATATCCGTGATGGCGAACCTATGGCACGGATGCCACAGGTGGCACGCGGAGCCATTTTGGTGGGCACGCAAGTGTTGCCCTAGCTCAGCTCCAGCACGCATGCATGCACTGGCCAACTGATTTTCAGGCCTTCCGGTCCCACCGGAGGTCGGGAAACTGTTTCTGGCCTCCGGAAGGCCTCCAGGGGGATGGGGAAGGCTGCTTTTGCCCTCCCCAGGCTCCTAGAAAGCCTCTGGAGCCTGGGGAGGGGAAAAAAACGGGCCTACCGGGCCCACCGTGCCATCGCATGCCAAAAGCAGGGGGAAATGTGGGGGGGGGTCACATGCGCATGTGCGGGAGGGCGGGGCACATTGAATTATGGATGTGGGCACCCGTACCCGCTCCCCCCGCTTTTGGCACGCGACGACAAAAAGGTTAGCCATCACTGCCCTATATCATTCTGGACATATGGCTATCCAGTCTCTTCAGTGATGGAGCACCTACAACTTCTGAAGGCAAACCATCCCAGTGGTTAATTGTGTAGCCAACCAGCCAAAGATAGACGGGAGTAATATGTTATGTCAGAGGCTCTCATTTAGTCAGAATAACAGAGTTGGAAGGAACTTTGGAGGTCTTCTAGTCGAATCCCCTGCTCAAGCAGGAAACCCGATACCTTTTCAGACCACTCATTGTCCAATCTCTTTTTAAAAGCTTCCAGTAATGGAGCACCCACAACTTCTGGAGGCAAGTCATTCCAATGATTAATTGTCTTCACTATCAGGAAATTTCTCCTTAATTCCAGGTTGTTTCTCTCCTTGATTAGTTTCCATCCGTTGCTTTTTGTCCTGCCTTTTAGAAAATAAGTTGACACCCTCCCTCTTCTTTGTAGCAGCCCCTCAAATATTGGAACACTGCATTCATGTCTCCCCTAGTTCCTTCTTTTCACTAGACTGGACAAACCCAATTCCCGCAACCATTCTTCATGTTTTAGCCTCCAGCCCAGAGGTGGTATTCAGCAGGTTCTGACCAGTTCTGGAGAACCGGTAGCGGAAATTTTGAGTACCGGTAAATACCACCTCTGACTGGCTTCTGCCTCCTGACTCCTAGCAGATCGGGAGGAAATGGGGATTTTGCACTAACCTTCCCCTGCCACACCCACCAAGTCATGCCCACCAAGCCATGCCACGCTCAGCAAGCCACGCCCACAGAACCAGTAGTAAAAAAAATTTGAATCCCACCACTGCTCCAGCCCCCTAATCAGTAGTGAAATCCAATTTTTTTTACTACCGGTTCTGTGGGCGTGGCTTGGCGGGCATGGTGTGGCTTGGCGGGCGTGGCAGGGGAAGTATCCTGCAAAATCCCCATTCTCTCCCCACTCCTGGGGGGAAAGATATTGCAAAATCTTCATTCCCACCCCACTCTGGGGCCAGCCAGAGGTGGTATTTGCTGTTTCTCCGAACTGCTCAAAATTTCCGCTACCGGTTCTCCAGAACCTGTCAGAACCTGCTGGATTTCACCCCTGCCCCTAATCATCTTTGTTGCTCCTTTCTGCACTCTTTCCAGAGTCTCTACATCTTTTTTATAATACGGTGACCCGAACTGGATATAACTGCATATAAAAACTTAACATAAACAGCAAGTAATCCGGTTAAGAAGAAGAAAAGTTTAAAAAGAATATAAAGGCACTTACTAGGCAAGAAAGATATTCTACAGGGTGGGGCTTCTTTGGTGCATTTGTTATGACATTTTAATCTGCAAAAGGGAAAAGATACATTAGGTACAAGCTAAGCTAAATTGTCGTCAGAGAAAATATTCCCACTGCTCTTCTCAGGGGAAAGCAGGAGGCACCGATCAGAGTGTGAAGTTGGGATTGGAAAGGCCAAATTCAGTCGCAGAACTTGGCTAGGAAGCTTTATGGGTGTCCAAGGTCCTGCAGCTGTATTAGAGTGAAAGTCCCATTAACCGCAACTAGCATTGATCACCGCTCATCCAATGACCCTGTCATTAAATGGAAATCGGAATACTTGTTTTTGCAAACATAAGCCAGCATCCTAATCATTACATCATGCTAGAGGGTTTGGGGTTTTTTTGAAGCCAGGGAAAATATAGCATCATAATCTAACTCAGTGTTTTTCAAACTCAGCCAGCCTCATGCTGGCTGGAGTATTCTGGGAGTTGAAAACCACACATTGTAAAGATGCTGAAGTTGAGAAACCCTGATCTAACTTATGTTCTACTTTTACAGCGCTCTAGCGTTCTACTTCAAAAATTCTGATTTATCTTCTTAACCTCACTAGCAGTCACTCCAGTAACTCCAGTAACAACAACATTAAGTGTTGTACCTTATGATCCTTGACAAATGTATCTTGTCTTTTTATGTACACCTCAGCATATGCACCAAAGACAAATTCCTTGTGTGTCCAATCACACTTGGCCAATAAAAAATTCTATTCTATTCTATTCTATTCTATTCTATTCTATTCTATTCTATTCTAACTCATCCAAGTCAATTTCCCAATAAAGCATCAATCTTGTGAAGGGCAACTCACTTGCATCAACTAGACCAGGGACCCCTAACTTATGGGCTTCAGCCACTACCGAGCTGCGGCTTATTCACAATGGGCTCACGACCATACTTATGCGAGCACCGCAGGCACTCTCTGTCCCACTTGTGCGAGCGTCACAGGAACTTGCGGCCCCACTTGCACGAGTGTCGCAGGTGCTCTCAGCCCCCCTCGCATGAGCACCAGCAGTTACACACATGCACATACGCACACTGTGCCTGCCCCTCCCACAAAACCATCCCCTCTTTTCCCTCCCCCGGCTCTGGGCCGCCAACCCAGAAAGGTTGGGGAACTCTGAACTAGACAGTGTTTCTCAACTGTGGCCACGTGAAGACATGTGGACTTCGACTCCCAGAATTCCCCAGCCAGCAATGGGGAATTCTGGGAGTTGAAGTCCACACACTGATTGAGAAACACTGATTTAGAGAATCCAAATTCCATAATGGAAACTGTTGTATGGCTAATTGTTGATTTGCAATTTTCTTTTTCCCCCTGGACTAGATTGTTGAGAGTGCTAGGATTCTTGGCACTTCTAAATTTTTCAAAGACCAGGATGATACAATTGTAGCTAGTTTTTTTTTTTTTTTTTACGGTATCATTTATTTTCACATGTGGTGAATACTTGTGAGTAGAGTTGATATACCTTGATTTACAACCATTCACTTAGCGACTGTTTCAAGTTACAGCAGCACTGGAAAAAGTGACTTACAACTGGTCCTTGCACTTACAACGGTTGCAGCATCCCCATAGCTAAGTGATCAAAATTTGGGCACTTGATAATTGGCACGTAGTTATGATGTTTGCAGTATCCTGGGGTCATGTGAATGCTATTTGCGACTTTTCCAGCTGGCTTCAGACAAGGAAAGTCAATGGGGGAAGCCATAACAACCAATTTATTAACAACTGCAAGTGATTCGCTTAACAACCATGACAAAAAGAGCCTTGGTCGTACAGGGGTTTAAGGCACCCTGTTATTAAGCTGGTTATTAAGACCAGCTGCCTGCAATTACTGCAGGTTCGAATCTCGCCAAGGCTCAAGGTTGACTCAGCCTTCCATCCTTTCTAAGGTAGGTAAATTGAGGACCCAGTTGTGGGGGCAATAAGCTGACTTTGTATAAATATACAAAAGGATGAAGGCTATTGCTGAGCACATTGTAAGCCGCCCTGAGTCTCCAGAGAAGGGCGGCATATAAATCAAATTAAAAAAAAAAAAGTCATAAAATTGGATGTGACTCCCTTAACAACTGCCTTGCTTTAACAATAGAAATTATAGTCTCAATTGTGGTAATAAGTCAAGGACTACCTATATTATTGTAAACAATAACGACTCCTTTTTTCTTTTTTTTTACTTCTTGTAGGGGTACAATTGCATCCTCTCTGCCTTTAGGAGTCAACCATTCTATATTCCAGAGATGGGCTTCACATAATTTAACAACCGGTTCGCCCAGTATCAAAAATGTGAGTGCACGCGTGTATTGTGACCTAGGATCACTTAGTCAAAACAAGACAAAATTAGTCCCAAAACAAACCTATTTTATTATAACAGCTGAGAATTACTTCATTCCGAGCTTAGTCCAAATTAATTCCAAAACAAGTCCTTCAGAAAAAGTCCTTCGGGCTTATCACAAACCTTTATCTTCTTTGGCAGCCTGCCAAAGGCCTTTCTTGGCAAAGCCCCACAAAGTTCAGAAACATGAGACGCCGACTGGAAGCAGAATTAGCAACATTGCTTTCCTACAAAGAGCCCAAGAGCCTTTGCTGCTCTTTTAAGCCTTACTCCTGGTCAATCATCTCCTGGCCTTACTCCCGAGTCGTCCCTTTTGCTTTAGCTGCTCTTGCCTTCTGGCAACTCTGTGCATGCGTGCACTAGGAACAGGCTCCTCCTGTTCCTCTGCCTCTCTGCCTCTCTGCTGTCCGACTCTGGAGGCTCTGGAGTCCGTGCATCACTCCCAGATGGCCCTGGCCCCATCTCTGCCTCTGGCACAGAGCCCTCGCCCGGGCCTTCCCCAGACTCCAGGACTGGCTCATTGTCCTCCCCAGCCTCCTCACTGTCCGACTCCGCTGCCAGCTCCGCAGGCTGCTGGTGGACCGCTCACTCTTAGTTCACTCACATGCGCGCCTTACACACATGCACGCTGCATCAAAAACACGGTGATTGTATAAGATGGAATAGCGCCAGGGTAGGTGGGCAGGCCCAGCCGCTGGCCGTAATTACCGGTTCACCCGAACTAGTCCAAACCAACTGAATCCCACCCGTGCTATATTTCCATTTTGCAATGTCTCTTTTTCTTTCCTTGAACACTCAGGGAAAGTTATACAGTATTTTCAGCATCTCCTGCTTCTCACTGTTATTCTCATCCAATGATCTTATTCCCTGTTTGACCATTTTCTTTTAAGTTACTCCACAGGCACTTTCCATGGCAGAGACTGTATCTGAACTGATTATTCCCTGTAGTCATACAGTGATTCATTCACTTTTGACTCTTTTCTGGCAGAAAGACAAACATTATAATTACAGACACCAGTCCTTTGCTTTTTCTATTCAGGGCAAAAAAAAATGCTTTTATTTTTTTTATTCTCTTCCCAGGCTCTCACTTAGCAAAATATAAACTTTTGACTAAAGAAAGATTTGTTTGGGATTCTCCCCAAAACTCTCATTAAGTTACTCAACAAGTAAGTGATCGTAGGACCCTGGCTGCTTTATATTTTTCTTACGATCTCTGCTTACTCAGCTGGAAGTAGTCATGTAATCAGTCACTGGGCAATCGGCAGATTTTACACAGCAATCCTTGTAATCAGCAGCTCTTCAGGGAATGACTTTTTCTGCTCTGGAGCCGAGTGTGCAGTCTTCAGAATATGCAGGTTCTCTAGTCATTTCTCTCCTTTCTTTTCTGTTGAATTCCCCAGGTGAATCCCTGCTAGGGTTCTTTGTTTGCTTGCTATGTTTTTATAGACTACTAGCTGATAACCTGGCGTTGCCCGGGTATTCATTTTTTTAAAGAACCAATCCTCCTTACCAGAGGGAGCCCCCTTGTGGAGTACTGTGAAGCCGTTACCATGACAACTCCACTGTGCTGTACAGTAGAAGCCATTTTAAGGCACAACAGGCTGTATCTTAACAGAACTTGAATCCAAAATGCACACTATCACTGTCAAAAGTACTATGATTTGACACTATAGATATAATTCATTCCTTTTCATTTCAGCGGCCCAGGTGTTCCAGAGTTATGCTGGAACACACACACACACACACACACATCCCGAGGGTGTATTGTGGGTGTAATACCCCCACAGTATTTGTTTCCAGAGGATAAGTCATCTGTGTACCAAGTTTCGTTGAAATTGCTTGAGGCGTTCCAGAGTTATGCTGGAACATGCACACACACAGAGCCGTTTTTATATATATAGATAATTTTCAACCACAAGGGGAACACCATTATCAGTGGCTTACCTGCAGTGTTTGCATTTTACTCCGAACATCATGCTTTTCTGACACACTTGGCACACCTGAGAGAGCCAGGATTTGGTAGAAAACCTGAATGAGAGGAAAACAGAACACAGCTATAGAAGAAGACGCTGAATTAAGGAAAGCAATATTATTGGTGAAAGATACACAGACAAACTACGAGGCCACATATCAAAATACAGGTAGTCCTCAACAGTTCATTTAGTGACCGCTGTGCTTAACAAAGGAAATGCCGTTCCCCATTGTGCTTGCAAGTTGAGGACTACCTGTATAACTCTTACAATTCCAGACAATTCCCCATACTAGCTTGGGTAAATGAGGTTTGAAATATAGCTCAAATCTGGACTGATTAATTCCACTTTTTTCCCATCATCGCCCCCATAGCCAAATGAACAACAGAGGTTGGGAAAACAACAATGCCATCCATCTCTAAGACAACGATGCTTATACAGGTAGGTTTTCTTAGGTGGCTCTTGTCATTTCAAACCTTTCTCCCCACCAGCACATCATTATGCAACTAAACTGGGAAATTATTCCAGCCCCACTCAGATCAGCCAAGGGCTTGCAGGGGATTGAAACCAGCCTTTGACAGAGGCTGATTGGGACTTGCATGAAGGTTAGTCTGAGATTGTCTGAAGGTTGAATCATTGCAACTTAGACTAGACCAGGGGTCAGCAACCCGCAGCTCTGGAGCCGCATGTGGCTCTTTCATCCCTCTGCTGCAGCTCCCTGTTGCTGGTCAGCTCCATAATTGATAGGGCTTTCGGTTAGGACAGGTAGAGGAAAAAGGATGCCATGCTAGGAGGAGACTCTATGGTGGGAGAACTGGACTTCAGGTCTGCTCCAGAATTGAATGGGGACTTCTGGTTAGGACTTTTGTGGTTCCTTGAGGTTTAAGGTTGCCAATCCCTGGACTAGACTTAGATTTTTTTTGTGGTTAGTTCCAGGCACCTTCCTTGGTCAGAGCAAGGCAGTTAGGCAGAGAGTTGTTGGACCTCACCTGAAAACACAAAACAATCCAGGTGGCCAGGAAGGCCCAACAGAGACTCCCATTTCCTTAGGGTCTTGCGTAAAAACAAGGTGGAACAACAACTGATGACCTCCTTTTACCGGTCCACAATAGAAAGCGTCCTCTCTTATTGCATCACTGGGGGTTGTTAATATGATTTATTAGGTTAGGAATTTTCTGTCTTCACTGTGAGTTGTATTGTGTTGGGGGGTTGGTGGTGCACTGAGGGAGCTCAATCAATCTCATTGTACATATGTTGTGCACTGACAATAAAGATTTGAAATTGAAATTGAAATTGACTGTACCAACTCCTGCCACACCAACCTCAGGGGTTTCCTCCCCAAAGTATGTTGCAGACAAGTCTAACTTGGATGGTTAACTTGCAGAGCAGCTCTACCTGGATGGCTGAGAATCTTCATCAGCATTGGACTTGTGTGTTCAACCATCTGAAAAACTCACCTGTGTGTTACAGACAGGCCGATATCTCTTCGTACCGCTTGTGGCGATCCCTGGGGTAAATCTAGGAAAATAAGATTTTTTAAAAGTTGAGGTATTAGTTGACTTAAATGCCTTTTGTCAAATGGCCAGCAAAGCAGACAGCCTGTCAACTTCGAAACGGATCTAGGCTACCGCAGCCATCTTTTCATTTCTCAAAAATGAAAAGTGAAGAGGCTTGGAATGCCAGACCAGACGATAACACCAGATCGTCCCGTGGGAACCAAGGTCATCTCAATAGGGGCTGGCCAGAGACTGAAAGGAGTTGTCAGAGAGACACCAGAACACCTACCACATTTTTTCGGACTATAAGATGCACCGGAGTATAAGATGCATGAAGATTTCGAAGAGGTAAACAAAGGAAAAAAAGTTTTTGTCCTCCCCAGGCCCCAGGAGCACTCTGCAGGCCTCCCAAACCCTCTGCGCCTGTTTTTGCAAAAAACGGACTTGATTTTTTTGCGAAAAACGGGCTTGTTTTTCGCAAAAACAGGGCCTGCAAAAGGTTTGGGAGGCCTGCAGAGTGCTCCTGGGGGCTGGGGAAGGCAAAAACGTGAAGCGTGGGGGGTTTGCTGGGAAAAATTCTGGAGTTGAAATCTTCCCATCTTAAACTTGACTGAGTTGAGGTACACTCCTATAAATTATTATGTTATATATAAATTATTGAGTCTGTCATCTGCACCTCTATAATCCGTCTGGTTTCTCTCTGCAACCCAACAAGATAAACACAGACTTCAACGGATAATTAGAACTGCAGAAAAAACAATGGCTACCAACCTGCCTTCCATTGAGGACCTGTACAATGCACGAGTCCAAAAGAGGGCTGTGAAAATATCTACAGACCCCTCGCATCCTGGACATAAATTGTTTCACCTCCTACCCTCAAAACGACGCTATAGAGCAGTGCACACCAAAACAACTAGACACAAGGACAGTTTTTTTCCCCGAATGCCATCACTTTGCTAAACAAATAATTCCCTCAATACTGTCAAATAATTTACTAAGACTGTATTACTATTATTCTTCTCTTCCTTACTAATATCTATCTCTTCCCACTTATTATTATAACCATGTTTCTTGTATCTTTAAATTTATATTGTTTTTATTTGTTTCCTAGTACGATTTGATAGTTTATTAGTAACCTTGACTATCACTAACTGTTGTATCCTTTTATTCTTGATGAATGTATTTTATTCTCCTTATGTATACTGAGAGCATATACACCAAAGACAAATTCCTTGTGTGTCCAATTACACTTGGCCAATAAAGAATTCTATTCTATTCTATTCTATTCTATTCTATTCTATTCTATTCTATTCTATTCTATTCTATTCTATTCTATTCTATTCTAAAGCTTCTAGCAGTTTTTTTCCCCTTTCCCAACTCTAGGTGGCACCAAATTCTCATTTCCCAATGTCTTCTGGTACTGTATGCATATTTCTTAACAGAATTTTAAATTACTTTTTTAAAAAAAATATTGTTTTCCCAACAATGGTGGAGGGCAGTCAATTGCTGGGAATGTGAGAGTACTGAGCCCAGTCAATTGCTGGGAATGTGAGAGTACTGAGCTCATTTTCCATAAATCCATGAGGTTCTTCAAATAACAAGCAAGTCTTTCCAGAAGCAGAAGAAACTCTGAGGTCACCTTAGATTAAAATAAAAATAACAGAATAACAGAGTCAGAAGGGCCTTTGGAGGTCCTCTAATCCAACCCTGGCACAAAATGCGGCCGCGCGGGTGGTTATGGGAGCGACGTGGAGTTCCCATGTAACACCCCTCCTGCACGAGCTGCACTGGCTCCAGGTGGTCTTCTGAGTGCGCTTCAAGGTTTTGGTTATCGCCTTTAAAGCGCTCCATGGCTTAGGACCTGGTTATCTACGGGACTGCCTGCTACCACCAATAGCCTCCCACTGGCCAGTACGCTCCCATAGAGAGGGGCTCCTCCGGGTGCCGTCGGCCAAACAATGTCAACTGGCGGCCCCTAGGGGGAGAGCCTTCTCTGTGGGGGCACCTACGATTTGGAACAAGCTCCCCCCGGAGATACAGAGGATCCTGGATCTGCGCACCTTCCGTCGCCCGCTTAAGACTTTTTTATTTCATCAAGCTGGCCTGGCCTAAATCTTCTCCTCTTTTTAAATGCAAATTTTAATCTGTTTTTAAATTATGGGATATTTTAAATTTGTTCAGCCAAATTATTTAATTCGTTTTTATTCTATTTTAAATTTTTGTATTTATGTGTTTTATCTTCTGGCTGTTCACCGCCCTGAGTCCTTCGGGAGTAAGGCGGTATAGAAATTTAATTTTAAAAAAAACAAAAAAAACCCTGTTCAAGCAGGAGACCCTATACCATTCCAGACAATTGGCTATCCAGTCTCTTCTTCAAAACCTACAGTGATGGACAGTGGTTGGATTCAGCCGGTTCTCTCCAGTTCAGGCGAACCGGTACTGGTGACTGTGGTAGGCCCCGCCCACCCAGCCAGATGTAATGTCATCCTATTTTGCCACCTTTTGGAGGCCATGTGCATGTGCTGAAGGCACGCATGCGAGCAAAGAGCATGCATGGAAGGCCGAGCATGTGTGGAAGGCACACGCTCACATTTGCGAACCGATAGGGAAGGTAAGTGAATCCCACCTCTGGTGATGGAGCACCCACAGCTTCTGAAGCCACTCCACTGGTTAATTGTTCTCACTGCCAGGAAGTTTCTCCTTATTTCTAGGTTGCTTCTCTCCTTGATTAGTTTCCATCCATTGCTTCTTGTCTTATCTTCTGGTGCTTTGGAAAATAAGTTGACCCCCTCTTCTTTGGATATTGGAACACTGCTATCATGTCACCCCCCTAGTCCTTCTTTTCTCTAGACTAGACCTACCCAATTCCTGCAACTGTTCTTCATATGCTTTCACTTATTTATTTATTTATTTATTTATTACATGTATTTATATGCCGCCATTCTCCCGAAGGACTCAGGGCAGCGAACACAAGTTAAGATGTGACCCCCCTCCTGCGCGAGCTGCACTGGCTCCTGGTGGTCTTCCGGGTGCGCTTCAAGGTTTTGGTTACCACCTTTAGAGCGCTCCATGGCATCGGACCGGGGTACCTACGAGACCGCCTTCTGCTACCAATAGCCTCTCACCGACCAGTACGCTCCCATAGAGAGGGGCTCCTCAGGGTGCCGTCGGCCAAACAGTGTCGACTGGCGGCCCCCAGGGGGAGAGCCTTCTCTGTGGGGGCACCTACCATCTGGAACGAGCTCCCCCCAGAGATACGGAAGATCCCGGACCTGCGCACGTTTCGCCGTGCTCTCAAAACTTTTCTATTTCAGCAAGCTGGCCTGGCCTAACCCCCATCTTTTAAATTTCTAAATTTTTTAATTCGTGATTTTACAAATTGGGTGTTTTAATCTGTGTTTCGGCCGAAATATTTAATAATTTTAAGGGATTTTTTAATATTTGTATTATTTGTATTTTATCTTGGCTGTTCACCGCCCTGAGTCCTTCGGGAGTAGGGCGGTATAGAAATTTGATTAATAAATAAATAAATAAATAAATAAATAAATAAATAAATAAATAAATAAATAAAGAAAGAAAGAAAGAAAGAAAGAAAGAAAGAAAGAAGTACAATAAAATCACTTCCAATCCCTTAACCATCTTTGTTGCTCTTCTCTGCACTTTTTCCAGAGTCTCTGCATCTTTTTTATATTGTGGTGACCAAATGTATGGTCTTACCAAGACCTGTAATATACATGTAATCCTTGACTTGCAATAGTTCGCTTCGTGACCATTCAAAGTTACAACAGCAGAACAGAACAGAAGAGAACAGAATAAACTATTCTCAAACGAATGTAGATCTTTAGGTGTTAAATTTGCTAATGCAGGAACATGCATCTGAAAGCATAATTTTCTTACCTAAGGGCTAGATAGTTCTGCCCCTAGTCATATAAATACAAAGAAGGATAATTTCATGTACATCTGTGGTTGTGAGCTTACGATTTCATGCTTCAGAGTTTTGAAACACTTCATAATGAGATTGAGGTTTGGGTTAGCAGTGTTTTGGCAGTTGTGTCTGAGAGCGATTATGTAGTAATGTTGTTTGGGTGGCTGAGGAAATGAAGGAACTATGCAAAGCAGTGTTGCTCAACCTTGGGAACTTTAAGATGTGGAGCTCAGTTCCCAGATTTCCCCAGCCAGCATAGCTGACTGGGGAATTTTGGGAGTTGAAATCCATTATCTTAACGTTCCCAAGGTTGAGAAACACCGATATAAAGGAAGGAGAGCTGGAAAAAAAAATAATTCAAATATTTGACAGTCCAAATGCAAAGCTGCTGAGCATCCGGGATCTAACAGATTTAATAGATTAACAGAGTTGGAAGGGACCTTGTAGGTCATCTAGTCCAACCCCCTACCCAAGCAGGGGATCCTACACCATTTCTGACAGATGGCTGTCCAGTCTCTTCTTGAAAGCCTCCAGTGATGAAGCTCCCACAACTTCTGAAGGCAACTTCTGTTCCATTGGTTGATTGTTCTCACTGTCAGGAAATTTCTCCTTATTTCTAATCCTCAATTTACGGCCTGTTGCTTAGAGACCGTTCTTACGACTTGGATTTTAAGTTCTGACATTCATCCCCTGCCCCTGCGATAATGTGACTGCACATCAGATGCTCAACAACCGGGCCACATTTACAGCCATTGGCAACGTCCCACGGTCATGTTTTTGCATTGGTTTTGTCGAAAACTGGCATCTACGTCTGGTTTTCAGCAAAACTGTCCACATAGTGAGCCATTGGTTTGCTTAACAACCGAACCATTCACTTAATGACCATTGCAAACAAGATCATAAACGTTTGTCACAAAACTTGAGTCTTAAACAGCCTGGCATTAAGCATGGGGTTGGACTAGGTGATCTCTAACATAGCTTCCAATCCTATAATATAGGGCAGTGATGGAGAACCTTTTCAGCACCAAGTGCCGAAAAGGGGGAGCGTGTGCATGCATGCTCGTGCTCGTCAGGACCTAAACCAGGAAGAGAAGCTGCATGCGCCGGATAAGGTACTTCCGGTTTCAGGCATGCGCATGCGAGCCGGCTAGCAAGTC